TGGCTTCTCTAAGAGAAGGAGGGAAGGAGGGAAAAATGGAAGAAAGGAAGGTAAGGGGGAGAGAGGGAAGAAGGGAAGAAAAGAAGAGAGGGAGAGAGGGAGGGAAGAAGGAAGAGAGGGAAGGAAGGAAGGAAGGTGGGAAGAAGGGAGAGAAGGAAAGAAGGAAGGAAATAGGGAAGGAAGGGAGGAGGGAGGAAGGAGAGAGGGAAGAATGGAAAGAAGGAAAGAATGCAGCAGGGAAGGATGGAAGGAAGGTGAGAGGGAAAGAAAGAAAGAAGTAAGGAAAGGAGGGAGGGAGGGAAGGAAGGTGGGAGTAAGGCAGGGAAGGAAAGAAGGAAGGAAAGAAAGAAGAAAGGAAGGAAGGAAGGTAAGGAGCATTTGTTACCATGTGCCAGGCATTGTGTGAGGTGCTTTACAAATATCTTGTATGGGCCTCACAACAACCCTGAGAAAGAGGTTTTAGAACTAAAGAATCTGAAAAGAGAGATAGAGGCTGCGTGAGAGGACCCTCTGTCTCCCAACTGTTCCTTCACTTTGCCTTCAATGCTTTCCTTTCTTACCTTGTCAATGTCCTTGAACACGGAGGGTGTAAGAGATGAAATAAACCTGATCCCTGCCTCCTAAGCTCACAGTCTAGTTGGGGGTGGAGGATGGAAATAAGACACACAGCAAATGACCAACATAGTAGGCTATGGGTGAGAGAGGAAGGGGAAAAAGAGGTTCAAAAAATCGTGAATGAAATTTGTTTTGGAGAAGAAAGTAATTCCTAGCTCCCCTGGCTTTTCAAGACAAGTTAAAGCCACCTTCTGTAAGAAGTTAATTCTAGTGCCATCCCTCTGAGATAACTTCCTATTTAACCTCTCTATATTTCTTGAATGTTCACAGTTATTTATATGTTATCCCCTTTTGCAATGTGATCTCTGAGGGTTTTTTTTTTTTTTGCCTTTCTTCGTATCTCCAGAATTCAGCACTTTGTATCTCCTGATGTATAGTTAGTACTTAGTGAATGACCGTTGACCAGCTGACTGATTGATGGGTAGTCTACAGAAAGAATATGCCTAGTCTAGCTTTAGCTGACACTCAAAATAGCTTGGCCTAACCTTTGACCTTGCAGGTAAATAGGGTCTTATTTTCAGGAATCTGATCATTTAATTCTCAGTCCTTTTGTCACCAATATTAGTACCATAATCTTCAGTCTGTTTTCCTCTATTCCTTCTTCCCTATTTCCCTCCTTCTCTTCCTCCTTTCTTTCCTTCCCTTCTCTCCATTTCTGTCTCTGTCTCCTTTCTTCCCTTTCTAACAGAGTCAAGCTTTGCCAAGTTTGTACACTTGAAAAGTAGGCTAAATGATCTGCCATAGAGGTGAGCCAAACTCATTGAACTTTTGGGGGGCAGTGAAAGGGTCTGTCTCCTTCACAGCTCTGTGTTGACGTGTGGGTCGAGATGCTCTGAGTCAGCTAGTCTATGTGGGAGTGACAAAGTGGCAGAGGGTGGGGTGGGAATTTTATAATGCATTGTATATACTTCCATATAATGCTATCCTCAGAGTCTACCCTGGGGAATCTCCTCTGTAGATCAGGTCACTTTATAAGAGGTCATTTCAGAATTTCTGTAATTAACCCCACTTGGAGGTGGTCCAATAGGGACCCATCTTGTATTGAAAACTACTCTAAAACAAATAATGTTGAGACGTGGTCCTTTGCCGACTCCATCCCCCACCCCAACAACTATTTGTGGTGCTCTTTAGATTCAGCATTGTACTGATGTAGACCACAGGTACTCAGTAAATTTTAATTCAAGACAATTGGCATGTCTTCATTAATTAGGCTTCTGTTCCCTGCGGCTAAGCTCTCCTGTCCTGCCCAAACACCCTTCTAGCTTCCTGTGGTTCTTTGTCACTTTCCAAATAGACTCACTTTGTCTAAGTGACTTGTTGGGCCTTGCTGAGTCTGGCCTGATGTCACCATAGTAACCAGACTACTGTAGCAGGAGAGCTAAACAGGGACTAATCCTGCTCTGTGGATGAGAGAGGAAGGGGAAGGATAGAGGGAGCACTGTGCTTCTTTATTATTTTTTGGAGGGATGTATCACAGCCATGTCCATCCACTCCAAGGCTGACAGGATCTCTGACACATCTTACTCTCAGTGTCTGACAGCTGTCACTGTCTAATGGTAAATTTGATCCAGACGACATCTATTACTTAGGCCACAGACACATTGCTTTAGTGTCTTGTGAAAATTTGGAATAAAGTACCATACCATGGGGCAGCAAGGTGGTGCGGTGGGTCAAGTGCTGGGCCTGAAGTCAGGAAGACCAGAGTTCAAATCGGGCCTCAGACAGTTACTAGCTATGTAACCCTGGACAAATCACTTAACCCTGTTTGCCTCCATTTCCTCATCTGTAAAATGAGCTGGAGGAGGAAATGGCAATCTACTTCAGTATCTTTGCCAAGAAAACCCCAAATGGAGGTTATGAAGACTCAGATATGACTGAAACGACTGAACAACTTCAACAACAAAAATGGTACTTTAATCATCTGGAATGTTTAGGAAATGGCCAAACAAATTTTGGTACATGAATGTAATAGAATATTATGGGGCAGTAAGAAATAATGACTATGAAGAATTCAGAGAAGCATGGGAAGATAGGAGCAGATATCCACTGAAGTAAACAGGACTCTGAAAACAATATACACAGTGACAATAAGAACACAAACGGAAAGAACAGCACCCCCCAAAAAAACCCAAACCCATCCCCAAATTATTTGTAATTAAAATGACTAAACTTTTAAAATAACTAGATGTCCCCAAAGAGGCATTGAAAAATGCACATCCCTCTTTTTTTTTTTTGTGTTTGTAGGGGTGTGAAACATTGCATCTGTTGCCAGATTTGGTTGATGTATTTATGGTTAATTTTGTTGAATTGCCTTTTTTCCTCTTTATTCTTTGCTGGAAGGGATGACTTGTTGGGTAGGGGCGGAGGAAGGGTATTTTTGGAAATGAAGGTAATGTATAAACAAGAGATCAAGAGATTTTTTTTTAAGGCAATTGGAGTTAAGTGACTTGCCCAGGGTCACACAGCTAGTAAGCGTCAAGCGTTTGGTCTGAGGTCAGATTTGAACTCAGGTCCTCCTGACTTCAGGGCCGGTGCTCTATCCACTGTACCACTTAGCTGCCCCCGAACAAGACAATTTTTAAAAGACAGTATCATTGTAGTTCCTCACTCACAGGATTTTCATGTTAGATAGGACCTTCACAACCCTTGTCCAACCTCCTTATTTTATAGAGTGGGAAACAGAAGCCACAGAAGGGAAGAGATATTCACAGGGTCATATGGCTAGGCAGAGGTAGAATTGGGATCATAGAAAGTCATAGCTCTGTAGCTGGAAGGGACCTCGGGGGTTACTTATCCAGTCATTTCATTTTACTGATGAGGAAACTAAAGCTTCGGTGACTTTCTTCCGGTCACACAGGTTCTAAGTAACCGAGCTGGGATTTGAACTCAGGTCCTTCTGATTCTGAGTTTGGCAGCCTATCCATTCTGCCAAGTTTCCTTTAAAACTCACGTCTTTTTTCATAGTTCAGGGTTCTCTCCATTATAAGTCTCTCCCTATAATATAGCTTGAGGGCAATATGGTGATAGCCCCATTTTGCAGGTTAACAAACTGAGGTACCTTGGGGGTGGCTTTGCCTAGAAGATTAAAGACGGTGACTTGGATTACTCTACCGTTTTTGATTATGAAACTAATTCCATCTGGTTACTTCTCTTTGGCTAAGATGAAATTCTGTTGTTAATCAACAATTTCAGGTTGGAGACTCTGAGTTTCTCTTTGCTTCTAGGCTGATCAGCCTCTTGGGTGTAAATTCTTGGAGCACAGCATCTGTGTTTCATTTTTGTGTTTGTATCTTCTGCTTTGCACAGAGTAAGTGCTTAAAAAATTATTACTGAATTGGCTTGGACATAGCAGGATATAGTGAAATGAGCCCTGAGTCAGGAGACTTGATCTGGCTTTATAATCCCCCACTGGGCCTCAATTTTCCCATCTGTAACTTGATGAGATTGGATCTCTAAGATCTCTTTTAAGTTACTATATTCTGTGATCTGAATATTTGGCATTATATGAATAGCACCTCTAGGCATTTGACTGGATTTTCCAACTACCTCATCCTACATGGATATTGTTTATCTGCTTACCTTCACTTTGAAAAATCAAGACAGAAAGGAGAGAAAGGAAGGTAACTTTGGATTTGCCTACAGAGTTCCCCAAGTTATTTCTTTCAATAATTAAACAGATAAGCCTTTTCAATAAGGTATTAACTCTGGGAATGAGCCTACCATGACTATTTAGCCATAATCCTGTCAGTGGGCCCAACAGGTCTGAGAATGGACTGTCTAGGTGCTTCACCACCCCATAACAAGCTCAGACGTGGCCACTGGGTGACTCATTAAAACACATTTATTGATTTCTTGACAGCAACCACACACAGGGAGTGACCATTAGAAACAAGAAAAGCATTTGTTTGGACAATGTCTGATCGTGCTGCATCTGCTGAGAAAATATACCATGTCTCCAGGAACATATATGATCAAGTACAGGCCTTCCCAGAACATAGCAGAATAGCAGTTTCAAACAAAAGAGACCTACTTGCCTTCTTGTTTCGATGCTTAATTCTTGTTAATGATGGGTCATAAAGCTGAACCGAAGTTATCTGCATTTGGCCAATGCCTTCCTGATTGTGATTAACTCAATAAAAGTGTCTGCATAAATGTCTGTTGAATTTACTTGAGTTGTTGAGAAATAAGAAAAGAGATGAAGGAACAAGGACAGAAGTCTGGCTGGAGTTGCAGGCTCACCCCAGAGAAGGAAGAGGAATAAAACAAACCAGGGTACTAAATTAACTTGTTAAACACATTTATTGAGTTGTTAACAGTAACCAAACACAATGAATGACCTTTGGAAAACAAGGAACAGAAAATGAATCAATTCTGATCTTGGCAAATCCTACTACAGATATGTGACAAAGAGGGAAAGAATTCAATTTCTTTATAGTCTGCAGTGTTATATTTACAATGCGTATCGCTCAACGTTTGTCTGTTAAAATTTTTTTTTAAGTAAATAAACAGAAGGATCATAACCTAGAAATTAGTTTCATCAACCACCTTCTTTGTCCTGACTTGCCAGCCACCCTTAGGGAGAGGGTGCTAGGGGAGCTTTCCGGGGCTTACTTGATACATAGAGCAAAGTCCATCTGATGCTGGAGAAGCCATATATTTCTTCTCTCTCTCTCTTTTTTTTGGGAAGATTTCATATGTACAAAGGCTGAAAAGTCTCACCGTGTAGTTTTGTTAGTTCAGGAAAAAGGTATCAAAATTGTAATCACATTTACTGAAGTTATTATCTTCTAAGACAGATCTCTTATGAATTACCTTTTTTTTTTTAAAAAAACAACTTGACTTCCCATCATGGCAGCTTTTGTGTATGTTTGATTTATGTATGCAGGTGTGTGTCTATGTGTGTCTGAGTCTTTCCTGTGCCACAGGCTTGTAGCCACTGTCATGTAGGAAGGACCAGTCCAGAGAATAAATGAAGCTTGGGGCAGGGAAGGAGAAGGGAAAGGAAAGGAAAGGGGGGCATTCTAGGTTACATCAATTCACAGCTGTAGCATTTCACTGAGGTGGAATTCATCTGGGTCTGGTTTCTTCATTTGAGCAGCCATTCATTTACTAAAAGGAGGGGTAAAAAGAACAGAACAAAGTTATTGTCATTTTACCTCTCTGAGCCTCAGTTTCCCTAGCTGTAAAATGGGATTGGTAATAAGAATATATGTATATATACACACATATGTATGTATATGTATATATATATGTGTGTGTGTTCACACATGCACACAAAATGCTCCATAAGTACTATGGCTATTATCATTATATCTAATTCATGCAATAGGAATGAGGGACAACAGATGAACCACCCCAAACAGTTCATTGATATATGAGTACTTCAAGGATCTATGCTTGTATCTATTGAGCTGGTGGTCTATCTTGAGTATAGCTCATATGAGCCTCTGCCTCTTGGCACCCCATCAATGCTCTTAGCTGAGTATCCTGCATGACACTCCATCTCTGGATTCTATGCATTTGCACTTGCTGTCCCCCATGCCTGGAATGCTCTCTCTCCTCATCTCTGTCTTCTCTGGCTTCCTTCAAAACTCAGCTCAAATCCTGCCTTCTGCAGGAGTCCTTTCCTATTTTTTCCCCATCCCCAACTGCTAGTGAGATAAGCCCTTTGGGATTACCTTTTATTCAAAGAATTGGAAATTAAAGGGATGCCCATCAATTGGGGAATGGCTAAACTAATTGTGGTATACGGTCATAACAGAATACTATTATGCTATAAAAAATGATGAAGGGGATGATTTTAGGAAGACCTGGGAAAACTTATATGAACTGATGCAAAGTGAAGTGAGCAGAACCAGGAGAATGTTGTACACAGCAACAGCAATATTATGACGACGATCAACTGTGAAAGACTTTGCTACTCTGAGCAATACAATGATCCAACAATTCCAAGGGACTTTTGACGGAAAATGCCATCCACTTCCAGACAGAGAACTGATGAACCCTGAGTACAGACTGAAGTTTACTTTTTTCATTTCCTTTACTGTTCTTGGTTGTTTGTTTTTGTAACATGGCTAATCTAGAAATATGTTTTTCATGACTTCACATGTATAATTGATATATTGCTTGCTTTCTCAATGAGTATGGAGAGACTAGAGGGAGGGTGAGAATTCAGAACTCAAAATTTTAAAAAATGAATGCAAAAAAAATTTTGAAAAAAGAGATTATCTTTCATTAACCCTGTATATATACCTGGTATATACAGAGTTGTTTGCATGTTACCTCTACCTTTAGAAAGTGAGTTCCTTGAGGGCAGGGGCTTTGTTTTTGCCTTTCTTTGCATCCTCAGCACAGTTCTTGGTACATAGTTAGTGCTTAAAAACTATTTTTTGATTGACTATGTGGGTTCTCTCCTCTACTGTGGATGGCTCACCCCCTACAAGTTAGCAGACACCATTTGGAAATTGCTGTGGCCCGAACCTTCCCTAACCTATAAGCAGCCTGGTGATGAGTCCTTCCTCTAGGCTGGCCCTTGGGTGACAGAAACACAGTCTTTTAGTGGATCTGAACTCGAAGCCTTTCTAGCTTGGCTATACCCAGCATATACCTCTTGCATCGCTTTTGAGGACCTAGGTTCAGCTCCATGCCACAATGAGGAATCAGTAGAGGGTTTTTGTGGACCAATTTGTTGTTCTTACAGGGCAGTTAGATGGTACAGTGGATAGAGTGCCAGGCCTGGAGTTAGGAGAATCCAAGTTCAAATCTGGCCTCAGACACTTACTAGCTGGGTGATCCTGGGCAAATCACTTTACCATATTTACCTCAGTTTTTTCAACTATAAAATGAGCTGGAGAAGGAAATGGCAAACCACTCCAATACGTTTGCCAAGAAAACCCCAAATGGGGTCATGGAGAGTCATAGACGACTAATGGACTAAACAATGACATTGTTGTTGATGCTACTACTTTTTAAATGAACTAAACCTGAGATTTCATTTGTTCAGGGAAGTCGTAGTGCTTTCCCCTCCCCCACCATAGCAGCTCATAGTCTTAGCTATGCTAAAGCACAGCAAGGTCAAGTGCCTTGCCTAGGGTCACACCTTCAAGATGTGTTAGAGGTGAGACTTAAATTTTCGTTTTCTCAACTCCAGGACTGGCCTTCTATCCTTCTATCCTCTTAGACCAAAGTCCATGATATATTAAAAGATCCAGAGTGAGGCCTATAACACATTAGGTCAAGTCTCTATGAAGGATTTATGGAACAACATGAACAAGAATCCCATAGGATGAGAAGGGATAGATGGGTTGCAATCTGTCACTGTGGTGGAATGAGTGACTGCCTTGATGAGATCATAGAGCCACTGAAGGACCTAACTCAGGTGTCATCAGAGTGGGCGTCCCCTGAGGAATGTATGCTGCTTGGTGACTCAGGCGATAGGGAGGGAGCAGTATGGGTCTGAGTTCCTGGGAAATCTATCTATTGACCCCGGGTTATTGGTGATATACTTATATCTCTAGGCTAGGCTTTACCCTCTGAATATCCATACAGCCTTAATCAATGCTGTTCTCCAGATACTCATGTGTCCTCTAGGCCATGTTCCCATGGGTTGTCCTCCAAACAGGTTAATGGTTAACAATAACACAGGGCCATGTTATAGAATGGCAGTACAGACAGATGGACATGACTTAGAGCTCAGCAGGGTGGGCCAAGTCCTGGGGGTCTCTAGGGCAGTTATTCTCACCTCTATATTGTAGCTTCTGGGCTCTGTTATTTGGACAATCCTTCCCCTGTAAACTAAAGTTGATGTTGGTGCGGATGCAGCGGTTGTTGAGCGGCTGAACAGGCCGGAAGTTGTCACTCATGCTCAGAAAGATCTGAGAGGGCTGATTCTGGCTGAGCAGTCGTAAGGAATGCATCTGTGAGAAAGCAAGCAACTGGTAAACACATAGCCCATCATGATGCCTGGCATTGGTTTGTTCAGGGAAGAAGTCCTAAGAATGCTCAACTATGAAATGCTAGTCATCCATCTGTTTAATGTTCAGAGGAAAGAAGAAGGCAAGGCAAAGAGAAGTGGAGTCTCAGGTAGTTAGAAAGTGAGGATGGTGGCAAAAGGCCCCTTAGATAAGGCCTTGCAATGAATTCAGTTATGTTATCTGTCCAATTATGTCTCTTATGTACAGAGGCAGCTATGTGACATGTGTGTGGGCATTCCAGGTTACACTATAACGTTGCTGGGGGTATTCCATTGGTTGAGTGTCCAGAAATGTCTGCATTTTCAAACCTGCCTGACCATATTCACAGTTGCTCTTTCTGACATATCTAGGGCTGAAGGATTCCTTTAGTCATAGCAGGTGATATCTTGCTATGGAGGGCAGGAAGGGTCTGAGGGACTTCTGCTCCTCACCTTAGACCATAATGCCCCAAGAAGTAGTGCTGGGGCTTTGGTCTGTTCCATTTGTCTTCTACAGTTTGAAGGGCAGAGAGAGAGGGGAGTCCCAGTCTAAGAGCCTAAACCATGGGGATCTTGGTGCTTAGAATTCCAGATCAGTTGTTGTAGTCAGCCCAGTGAAAAGCTTTGAGAAGCAATGGTCCTGGACGTTATCCCACTGGGGCTTTGGATTTAAACTTGGTGGGACTAATTCTATGTAGGAACTGAGTTAAACTGTGAGCCTAATTTCATTCCCTTTCCCAGAGACTAAGGTGGCATAGGGAGGATTATGATCCCCAGGAATTGGAGGGAAATGTTTGTATATTTGCACATTTTTCTAGCTATAGCTTTGAAATAAATCTTCCTTTGTAAAAGTTAATCTGCTGTAATTAGTCAAAAGGAACTGGGGTGGTCTTCACTAGGCTCATAAAATTGAGGTAAAACAGTAGGTGGGGGCTCTAGCCAATGGCAGAGGTAGAAGACTGAGAGACACCCCCTCTCAACCTCCTTAGGGTGTGGAGAACCTTGAGGGGAGGGTGTAAATGTAACAGATCTGGCCCTCAGAGAATGGGGCCCATGTTATACTTAGAAACATAGAATCATAGAATATTCCATCTGGAAGGGTCTTTAGACCTGATCTACTGCAACCCTTATTTCATGGAAGGTGATAGTCTCAAGGAAGCAAAATGACTTATTCAAGGTTACAAAGCCAGAAGGGGGCTGGGCTGTAGCTAGAATTCAAGTATTAATGACTCTTTCAGTACTCTTTCTCACATCATATACTCCCTTTCTACCATGTAGGGTGATGCTCTTAGACTCAAATGATGCTACTCTGTTCTTCTCTAGGGCAAAATGATGAAAGCATTTTAAATTCAGATCACTTCAAAAGGCTGGGCCAATATTCCTACCAAATCCTCTCTTTCTCAGAGGCCACAGAGCTGCTCACCTGCATCCTGGTTATGTAGACTGGTTTGTTCATTATTATCCAACTTGCTGTCTCATAACAGGGCGGGATAGTCATCGAGCCATCATAGGTAATGAAGCTAGAGGTCTCAGGATATAGCTCCTCTATATTAAGTCCTTGTAGCAAGTATGCATCATCTAGGAAAGAGAGCAAGACCAAAAACCTTCATCACGTGAGAATTAGGATGATCTGAAATGCAAATGCAATTTCAATTCAGTTCATTTCAACAGATATTATCTACTATTTGAAAGGCACTTTGGCAAACCCTGGGGATAGAAATACACATAGAAGATGGACCCTATCCTCAAGGAGTTTACAGTATAAAGGAGGGATATAATATGAATAGAGATAAGTGTAATATAGGGTAGAAAGTGAAGGAAACAGAGGTGAGCTCAGATTAAAGGTGCTAGGGATATCTGAGTATGGAGAGAACACCAGAGGGAACACTTTCACAAAGAAAGTGACAACTGAGCTGAAGGAAGATGTCTGATTCTGATTCTGAGAGTCAAAGATGAGAAAGGATGGATGGGTACCTGGAGGCTGAGTGTAGATATGTTCTCATAGAGGCATATTGTAATGTTATTATGACATGCCAATTCCAGGTAAGAGAAAGAAGTTCAATTTTACTAGGATGTAGGGTGTTGAGGGAGAAAAGTAATATGGAATAAGTCTGGAAAGGTAGTTTAGAGTCAGGCAGTGTAGGGTTTTGGATGTCAGGCTAAAGAGTCAGTCTTTAATCTGAGAGATTAAGTTGTCGGCAACGGTCCTCTGAGAGGATGGATGCCAGTTCACTCTTTTGTGACCCATATCATTATACTCACAAAGACATGTAAGAGTGAAGATGACATAACTGCTTCATTGAATGACTCCCCAAAGGCAGCTGTCTTTGAATGGGTTGACTCATAACCTCAACCCTTCAACAGATCAATGATCCCCTTGAAATGGGTATTCTCTCTATCAATGAGGATCACAGTCCATCCACTCCTTATCTTCTCTTATTCTTGTCCTATGTCCTCCCACAAATCCCTTCCCCAGAGGAGACCCACCAAGGGTACTGGGGACTTTTTCTAGGTCTTTTTATATTTCATGGGTGCCAGCACAGCACTTGGTGCTGTCCATCTATTATTGCTCACTCTCTTCCTTTTTAGAAAGGCTTTTAAACTCAATCCAAGGAGTGCTTTCTTAGGGAGAGGGAGATCTTTAAAAATCCCAGGCACTTGCCATAGTTCAGACTGTTAAACATCTTTTGTTCACAAAAGCTCTGTCAAGGTGGAGAGTATTAAAATTGCTCCACGTTGATAGAGTTAATGTAAGAAAGTAAACATGTTCACTGATATCAGTGGTCCTTCAGCAGGATCAGGAAGCATAGAAGCAATTTGGTTAGTCTCATACACTGGGACAGACTTGGCCTCTGTGCAGGGAAATATAATGAACCATAGCCTAGCAGTGTAGTACCACATGGTACTTTGCTGTGGCCCTACTCTGACCTTGAACCATCATGGTTCTAGTAACTGGGCCCTGGCCTTATTTTTTTCTGTGACTCCAAAACATCTAAGGGGTAACTCAATTATAAAGAAACACAGCTAATGGTGAAGCATTGTTTACAACAAAATTTATGATAAAAAAATGGAGAAAGTTGGGGGCTCCAGGACAACTTTCCCTTTGGCTAAGATGCTGTATCTCTGATCATATCCAAGTACCTGCCCTATTCTAGTTCTAGCGTATCCCAATTCTAGTGATGTAGTGGAAAGAATAGTGGTTTAGTATCAGAGAACCTGGATTCAAATTGTGGCTCATACTTAGTACTTGTATTAGCATGGACAAGTCATCTGCCCCCTCTAGGTTGTTTCTTCATCTAGAATGGAAGGGGGTTATATGATCTTCTAAGGTCTGTTCTAGCTCCAGATTTCATGAATCTATAATTGGCTCCTGTCTTTATTTTCCACTCTGCCTGAGTTCCTTCCTAGTCTCATATCTAGTTCCCCCAAGGTAGAGGGCTTTGTTTTTATCTTTCTCATTCTCCCAGGGACTGCTCCTCAGATATCCAAGGCTGAATTCTCACTATTAAACGCTCAATAAAGGCTTGTCACTCACTGTCAGGCCTTGATAAAGGATGATTGTCCAAACCTTTATCAATAGCCTACTGCCAGACTCTGCTCCTATTAGACAGTGCATATCTGCTGGGTAGCTAGGTGGCACAGTGGATATAGTGTTGGGCCTGGAGTCAGGAAGACTCAACTTCATGAATTCAAATTTGGCCTCAGATACTTCCTAGCTGTGTGACCCTGGGAAAATCACTTAACCCAGTTTGCCCCAGGTCTTCATCTGCAAAATGAGCTGAAGAAGGAAATGGCAAACCATTCCAGTTATCTCTGCCAAGAAAACCCCAAATGAGGTCACAGAGAGTCAGACATGACTGAAAAATGACTTAACAGTAGTTGGGCTATCGCCTTGTGGCTCATTGCCTGACCTACCTGATGTTAACCACTTAGGTGCTTTAACTTTCTCTGGTCCTCTTGTTGCTGAGACCTTATAGTGATAGGATCATAGGTTGAGAAATGGGAAGGACCATCTAGTCTGCCCATTTCAGTTTATAAGTGAAGAAACTGAGGACCAGAGAGAAAAATAAATGACTAGTGCCAAGGTCACACAGATCATATGGTAAAGCCAAGGTTTGAACTCAGATTCTATAATCCCAATAGTGCACTATTGCTTCCTCTCCTATTCACATTCTTCTTTCCTGACCTACCCCACTGGGTTTGCCTAATCTCTAAATCCAGACTATTCCTAGTCTCTTCTGTCCTGTTAGATACAAACCATGGCTCCAAAAGCAGGCTAAGCTCCAGAACACCATAAGCCCTAATTAGGGGTATCTATGAATTCGACAGGAGCCATCAGCCAGTGTGGCAGGTAGAATAGGCTGGCCAAGCTGGCTGTTTCCATTGGGAAGGTGCCCTGTTAAAATGGTTGGTCAGAGGTTGAGAAGTGAGCCTAGAAGGAAGAGACAATAACTTGGAAAGATTGTGGGACTTGGCCTTTGAGGTATCCCTAGCTCTAAGTCTATGAGCCTATGATCCCATGCCTGGAGAAGATAATGCGGCTCATGAGGTTCATGAGGAAAGACACAGTGGTTCCCCAAAGAGATCAGACAATGGGGAAAAGGCACAAACTATTTATGGTAGCTCTCTTTGTAGTGGCAAAGCACTAGAAATCAAGGAACTATCCATCAAATAAGGAATGGCTGAACAAATTATGGTATATAAATGTAATGAAATCATGAAAAGTGCAGTTTCAGAGAACCCTGGGAAGACTTGCATGAACTGATGTCAAATATAGTGTGCAGAACCAGGGGAAAAGAACTTTTAAAAACCTAGGAATTCTGATCAATGCTATCATTCCAACCACCATTCTTGAAGACCAGTGATGAAGCATGCTACCTACTTCCTGAAAGAGAGGTGATAGATTCAAGATTCAGAATAAGACATTTATTTAAGATGTGACCAATGTGGAAATTTGTTTTGCTTGATTGTGTGTATTTGTCACAAGGGTTTTCTTTTTCAGTTGGTTAGGGGAAGTAGGAGGGAAAGGCAGAAGACTGTGTTCAAAGAGGTGAATTTCAGTATTCAGGATGTGGAATAGTTACTGGTGATGGTAAGATCTCATGGGTAACATCCTTCTGGGTATTTGATTTAGAGCAGAGATTGTAGCCATAAGAGTTAAGGAGGTGGATGAATTGGGACTCAAGGATGGATAGGGATGATGGATAGGGATGAGGGTCCAGGGAGAGAAGGGCAGGGGAAAGGCATTTTCTCTTAAACTGTAGATCTGAATGACAGAGATTTGAAAAATAAATAGGATCAGAGGATCACAGATTTTGAGTTTGAAGGGATCTTAGCCCATCTAGTTCAACTTCCTCATTTTAGAGATGAGAAAAGGCCTCTAGAGAGGTTAAATGACTTTGCCCAAGGTCACAAAGGGAGGAAGTTGCAGAGACAGGATTTGAAACCAGGTCCTCTGACTCCAAATCCAGCAGGAAATCATTAGTCATATAGGACAGGGGGAGTTCCAAGTAAAGAGAAACTTGTTGACTAAATTGGCTCCCATATTCTAATTAGAATGTCCATGTGATGGAGCCTTTGATGATGCCTATACCTAGAGGCTCCTGGTCGGATAAGTGCAGTAGAGGTGATCAGAAAGTCATGGTGGCAAGTGATTGAAAGAATAAAAATCTCTTGTTGTCCACAGCTCTCATGGATATGATTAGTCTCTAGTTATCATGAGTCTCCTCACTGGTCGGACCCTGGCAAACTCTTTCAAGACAGACAAAACAATTCAGTGGGAAGAATGCTGGCCTTGGAATCTGAGGACATGGGTTCAAATCTTGCCTCTGTCACTTGGGTAAATTACTTACCATCTCTCAGACACAATGTAAAATGATAATAATAGTAAATACCTTTCAGGATTGTTATGGGAATCAAATGAGATAATATCTGAAAAATACTTTGTAAATCTTAAAGTTCTAGGTAAATGCTAGCTATTGTTATTATTATTTCTTTCTTCAAGGACAGATCTCTTTCCACGAGAACAAGCTGACCCCTTTACCTCTAGTATAATATAAAATCTTTGAGGGCAAGAGTGGTGGCATTTTAACATATTAAAACATTTTTTTAAACTTAAATACATACTCAAATAAAAACATTTCCAAATACATTGCAGTTTTGTTTTGTTGTTTTACCTTTGCATCCCCAGTGCAACATAGCAGGCACTTAATGCCTGCATTTGTTGAATTGAATGTTGCATTGGTAATCAGCCAGCAGAAAGGGAATGCCTCATTGACTACTGTCAGTTCCCATTAGATAACTATGAGGAATTTTTTGCTGGGCTCCAAGAAGTCTTCAAAGGGTCCCAATAGAAAGAGAATGATTCCCAAAGAACCAATAAACCCTGCCTTGGCCAGATTTTCTGAATGATCAAAGTATGACTATGTATCTCATAGACAGAAAGATAGGTAGATAGATAGATAGATAGATAGATAGATAGATAGATAGATAGATAGATAGA